TAAAAGAACCCCAAATGAGATTCGCATGGAAGATTAAGATTGCATTCATGCCTTTATGCTTTAGTCTGGAGATGGCTACTTGGCATCGACATTGAAGTATATCTGAGAGGGCGGGTCGGGGGAGAGCTAGTATCCTTTGGAAATGCTTTTTCAATGATGAAGTGACTAAATTGATATTTTTTTGGCATTTTTTCTTTAGCTTGGAAGAAATCTATCTACTATTTATTTGTTAAAAAACCAATAAACCTTAATGGCGACATTATTATTAGTAGAAAATTGAAATATGTGTTTACTATATTGCCTGTTAGGTCTAATAATTCATACTAAACATGCACAAACTATGCACGAGACTAATACACTATACCAAACTTGCACGAACTATGCATGAAACTAACACCTCATACCCAACATGCACGAACAATGGTGCATAACACATTCTAAAGCTATGGCTATGAAATAGCCTATTGTTAAAGTAATTTCTTGTCCGAGTACCACAAGCTAGTTGATGTGCTAAAAAACAAATAGAAAGAGAAAGATGAGATAAATATTAATGATTATAGAATTCTCGCTTCTACTTACCTTCATCTTCGTTTGACACAATATGGAGATAAAGTCTACTATCGAGTTAGACATGACCGAAAAATGCAATGTCTTTTAATGGAATATTGCAAAGAAAAGAAATTAGAGTACACAACTATGATGTTTGTGTATGATGGAAAAAACATGCTGTTAAGTGAAATCTAGATGAGATTTGCATGGAAGGTGAAGACTGCACTGATTTCTTTATGCATTCTGGATGTGGCTACTTGTCATCGACACTTGAGTAGATTTGAGAGAGCGGGAAAGCTAGTAGTCTTTTGAAATACTTTTTCAATAATCTAGTGGCTAACTGGATTTTTTATTTTGTGTTTTTTCTTTTGCATGTATAGAAATGAATCTAGTATTTATATACCAAAAACCAATAAAGCTAAATGGCAGAGGTACTAAGAAAACGAAATTAAAATATTTGATGACTACAATGTCCATTAGGTCTAATATATCATATTACATGCATGAACTATGCGCGAAACTAATACTTCATACCAAACTTGCATGAACTATGGTGTATAACAATTTCTTAAAGAATGGTCATGAGTTAACCTATTTTTGTAATAATTTCTTGTTTCATCAGCTCAGAAAGAAATGATAGATGGCACATTGGATGGCGTTTTTGACGAAGACACTCTTATGCTCAAGTTAGGACTCGAATAGAAAGAGAAAGCTAAGATAAAATATGAATGATTATGAATGCTAGTTCGTGCTTACCTTTCTCTTCAGTCTTCCCCCCTTATATGTGTTTCGCGCAGGTAGTCGCTAATAATTAAAAGGAAATTTAGACGATTGTGTAAGGGACAAATCTCTTGAGACAAAGTCCCAAAAAGGGGTACTTTATTGATGAGAGTTATAATTGGAACTAAACAGAATGTCTCTAAGGAGCGCAAGCACACGAGTACTGAAAGAAGGATAATTAAAGTTAATCCAAGAAATTGAAATTACATATTCTCTATTTGAGAGTGTTTGATTCGGGGTCCTTTCTCTATGTCTATCCTTTCCTTTTATATTCCTATGATGATTTCTGCGTGATAAACTGCTACCCATTTTCTTCATGGTGCCTAATTTGTTGTGGAACTATTATCTCTAACTGCTGTCATTACTCCT